GGGTTGAGAGGGAGGGACTGGCCTAAGGTCCCCCATGCTGACTGGGGAATTCTGGGAGTTGAAGTCCCCTCATCTTAAAGTGGCCAAGTTTGGACAACACTGGTTTAACACATGGCATGCCAATATTTAAGTCTCCCTACTGTGTGGGCCCACTTGTTGGGGAACTAAAATTGCCTGCGGTTGTTTGCAGAATAACCATCTGAAGGCATAGTTTTCCAATCATTTGGGGGCATTTTCTTGGCATGCTAGAAAAAAGTGGCCTTGATGCTTTCCCAGAGCAATGGTTGCAAACGCGTACAAGTTCCTTTTTGTAAAAAGCAGTGTACTCCAAAAGAGTGTGGCCATTCACAAAGCCTGTGTTTCATAGAATGGGGATGTAATGGTCTGTGTAGTGTTTGTCAACCGTGGCCACTTGAAGATGTGTGGACTTCAACTCCCAGAATTCCCCAGCCAGCATGGGGGACCTTGGGCCAGTCCCTCTCTCTCAGCCCTAGGAAGAAGCACCCAGGGCAAACCAGTTCTGAAAATGTTGCCCAGAAAACTGCAGGGGCTTGTCCAGGCAGTTGCCAGGAGTCAAGGCAGACTCGAAGGCGCGCGTGCACGCACACACACACTGCATGCATTTAAATGCGTGCCCCCAAAAGTGCTGTTCGAAGGAATAAATGCATATTGAGGAATTGTCGTGGCCTTCTCAGAGTCTGGAAAAGAGCATTGCCTTTTGCAAAACAGCACAAGTTTGGAAATCTGCACATTTTCCCCTCTCGAGGAAATGGGTGGCCACCTCCCCACTGCATCCGTAGCTAGTTAGCAAGAAGATCGAAAACTTCTTGTTCGGACAAGCGTGGAGATTAACGAGGGGTATCGAGTGGCCAAGATTTGTGCAACCGAGCCTCCTTTTCCCCTTTCCATTAATCTAATGAATGAGATGCAGTGACAATGTAGCTTTCTTGACCGCGGGTAGTTGCCAGGGACTTGACCCGATTTTTTCCAAAGATGAATTAGTCATCCTTTTTCTGCAATGCTCTGGGCTTCGCCTGGCAGGTGGTCGGTACATCGAGCTGTTTCTAGAAGAGAGCTGCGCTAAGGCAAAACCCTCTGAGAAGGGGTCGGGCCAGGTTTGGCAGAGGACCAAAAAAGACGACGAAGAAGAAGAGGATCTTTCGGAATCGGGAAGGCTTTTTGTGAGGAACCTTCCCTACACGAGCACAGAAGAAGATCTGGAGACCATTTTCTCCAAATATGGTGAGCTGTCACCCCAGTTTTCATTTTGGGGACCTTTGGAGCCTCTTTTCCAAAATCCTGTTCTTAAAAGCAGAGTGGGATCCTAGTAGATTTCAAGATAGCTTCAAAGATACTTCCTTTACTTAATTGTGAAGTTTTATGCCCTGCTTTTCATTTAGGCACTCCAAGTGGCCTGCCTCATGCCCCCCACCCTTTTTCCTTACAACCACAATCCTGCGAGGTAGGCTGGGCTGAAAGAATGACAGGCTCAGAGCCCCAAAGAGAACTTCCATGGCTGAGGTGGGAAACAGCAATGGCCGGGAAAGAAGACTTGAGACCCTTTTAGGAATCACAGGAAAGAAATCTGCTAAGAAGAAGAGAGCATCAGATTAGGCAGTTAGATACAAACAATATTATTACATCTATGGGCCAGGTCATTATTATTGTATACAGGGAGTCCTCGAGTTAAGAACGCCCCATGTACAGACAACCCATAGTTAAGAACGGAGCCTGTTGTAGCAAAATTAGAGTTAAATAGTTCCGGTTCAAGTTCAATACACAGTGATTCAAGTTCAATACACAACGGTCCACAATGGTTCGATTGGAGTTAAATACATGATGGTAAAGTACAGTGTTTCGAGCTACATAACAATGGTTCCAGTTAAACACACAATGGTTAAATACAATGATTCGAGTTAAATACATAATGGTTAAATACACAGTGGTTTGAGTTAAATATACAATGGTTAAATACACAGTGATTTGAGTTAAATACATGAAGGTTCGAATTCATTACCCAATACCACTTATACGGTATTATACAATAATGCTGTTCTGGCTTACGTACAAATTTGACTTAAGGACAGACCTTGGGAACGGAACTCATTCTTAAACTGGGGGCTACCTGTACACAACAACATGTTGTTACAGCGGCCAGTTCTTTAGCTGGTCTTGGCCTTCATTCACATCGAGTTCTTCCCAAAAACCTAGGATGTGGTAATGTATCTCAGATGAAACAGAAGCTTCAGAGGAGCGTTTTTCATCAGTGCTATAGTAGAGGAGGGGGGGAATTAGACCTCCTGGTGATTTTTGGCTTAAAGCAGTGTTCCTCAACCTCAGCAACTTTAAGAGGTGTGGACTTCAACTCCCAGAATTCCCCCAGCCAGCAGAAAGAAATGTTCTTAAAGTTGCTGAGATTGAGGAACACTGACTTAAAGGATAAGCAAGCAAGCATGAACATCTGCCTTCCAAGATTCATCTAATGTTGCCTTCCCTTGGACTAGACCTAATCCTCCAAGCTTTTATTAAAATTTAAATTTGTTATTCCACAGGGCCTCTCTCTGAGATCCACTTCCCGATTGATGGCCTGACCAAGAGACCCAAAGGTTTTGCGTTTGTCACCTACATGTTTCCTGAGCATGCTGTGAAGGCATTTGCAGAAGTAGATGGACAGGTTTACCAGGTACAAACTGATTGGTGGCCTTCTCTGTGCCGCAGATCTTACACAGCAGCCCCCAGGAAGCTAGTAGGAAATAACTGGATTAGACAGAGGGTGATCTGCGAAGTCAGAGACTCTCGGGTTTCCATATATCGAGAAGTCATTCTTGGGCTCCACTGATGGCCGAAAAGTTCCCATGTAAATGCTTTCCTTATGGTAGCCTTTTTGTCAGAATCTGCATCAATCAAATGTCAATTTAAAAAGCTGTAGCAGTCCATGGGTGTTTGCTTGATTTGATTCTGCCATTTGTATCGGGGAAGGGGGGGGATGGTCGTTTATAGTTGTGCGTGGGATATTGCTATGAGATGGAGAGGCGCTCACACTGATATGGGAATTTACAGCAAGTCCTGAAGGCAGACAAAACCGGTGGTGGTCTGAAGGCTGGGAAGAACTGTGTTATCAATGGGAGGAATGCACAAGGCCACCGTTCTGTGAGAAAAGGTTTTGGTGGCAATATAGTAAGGGCGGGGGGGGTGGGGAATAAGTAGAGGGAACTTTACACAGGCTTTAGTTTTAGCAATGCTTTGCTTCAGGCTGCATGTACCAACCAATAAAGGAGCATTTATCTGAACCAGGCCTGGTTTCGCAAGAATTCTTCTAAATTGCGGTTTGGACATTGTGGACTTGACACTTTTTCTTATGGGATAAGGACCAGCTGCTGTATCTGCCATATTTTCTTTGAAGCAAGAACATGTTGAACCAGATGAAAATAACATCCCTAATAAGCTGGGCTGAACTCAGCAAAGAGATAAATGCAAAGTTTTGTTTAGGGTGGCAAGGAAAGGAGGATCTGGGGAGAGCCAAGAACAGGGTTGCCAGCAAGGTCCACTGAGTTCTGGTACTTGGAAATGCTGTCTTAAATTCTGGGCTTCCTTTCTCCCTCTGAACTCTAGCTGGTTGATCGCAGGGGTCCAGGGGGGAAAATGGCTGAAGTGGCCTTTCCCACCACAGACCATGCGAACCAATCGTTGCTCTGAAGGAGAAGGTTCAAATGCTTCATACAAAGGTTTCCATGAAATATGAGGATGGGTGGTGTCATTTCTGAGTGGACGCTGAGCAGCTGTGTAGTAGCGGACGTCTTCTGGAGAAGAAGTGGAGAGCGGGACCATGGAGTTGGACCAGATATCCATTGGAGAGCTTTTCCAAGACGAGGATCCAGGATAACTTTGGGCTTTCCACCTGTTCTTCCAGGGTCGGAATTCCAGAGTCGGTATTTATTTTGTCTCCTAGGGCCGAATGCTGCACGTGTTGCCTTCTACCATCAAGAAGGAAGAAGCTCAGAGCTCGGATTCTGCAGGGTCTTCTTCATACAAGAAGCAAAAGGCATCCAGAGATAAAGCAAACAGTTTGAGGTTTGTGCTTCCAACCATGCAGATTTCTTCCTCTCTTTTCTTTATAACTATTAAAAGTTTTCATATAATAAAAGACAAAGAAAAAGAGAGAAAGAAATAGAAAAAAGGGCAAGAAAAGAAAAACGAAACTTAAGAAATATTGAAATGACTTCCAATCTTCTTTGCAACAGATAATGACATTGTCCCTCTTCCCTCTTAAATACTTTAGAAATCCCCTCAGCCCCTCATTTGATCCGCATCTTTCTTCATCTTCAAATCATAAATCATCCATTCATTTTTTCCTTCTTCCAGCAAAATGTCCACGTAAGGTTTCCAGCCTTTCAAAAACTTGCTTCATTGTTTGTTCTCTGACCGAACAGGTCAGTTTCGCCATTTCTGCAAATTCTGACATTTTCACAATTCGTTCCTCCGCCGTAGGAATATCCTTATTCTTCCAGTTTTCTTCCCGTTTTTGACCAGGGATGTGAGTAGCATGGAGGAGGGATGTTTGAGGTCTTCTAGATTTAAGAGAGCCCAACTATTTTCCCCCCCTCCTCCACCAGCACATTTGCTCGCCTGCATGGGATCTCCGATCACCCATGGTGACCAGGCGAGCAGTCAAGATCAGGAGCTGGGCAATAGGTTTGCCGCTTGACCGTTGAAGTGCAGCCTGAAGTCAAGGCATTACAGTCTACCCAAACAGCAGGACTCACAATGTTTCTCCTACACCTAGTTCACACAACTGGAACACCCTATTCATGGGAACAAATGCTGTGGCAGATGCTGTTGCGCAGAAATACAACGCTACTAAGAGTCAAGTGCTGGATCATGTGAGTTTTTTTTTATTTAAATAACTTCTGCCCTTCAACTAGAATCTGCCCAAAAATCTGCACTGAACATTTTTTGTTCCCCTAACTCAGTGTTTCTCAACCTTGGCAACTTGAAGATGGGTGGACTTCAACTCCCAGAATTCCCC